TAAAAAAACATCTACGAATTGCACAATGTAGGCAACGAACGAATCTACAAACTACGCACACCTCGCTTTAATAAATTAACATAACAACAATAAATTTCAAAGAATACCATGTACACAGCATCCTGTTTAAACTTTAAAAAAATTCTACGAATTGTACAGTCTAGACACTAAACAACAAAATAAACTAAAATAAATTTCAAACAATTTAAAAAAACAACAATAACGACAGAAATTCATACTAAAGAACCAATGAACATAACATTCTACAAAATAAGAACAAGGATAAAATAAAATGCACTTACCATGAATTAATGCGTTTTTCGAATAGCAGAAATATAAATTTCATACCGCCTTTAACATGCCGCCACGTAATCACTATCGTATTTACATGACAGCCAGACACACTATCCAGAAAATTTATACTATGGTTCACAAATAAATAAAATCACAAATCCCTACTTCTATCATGCACTGCCATTAAAAATAATCTCCCAGACCCTCTTTCCACACCTTCCAAATACCCACTACCCCTCAACAGGATAGCCACAATCATATTTCCTTTTGCCGAACTTCAATTCAACAACTACCATTTTATCTTTCCCTCCCATCTTCTCAGACACAGAGGCGAACCAACGAGCTCCAGCGAAAGATTTTTCAACGTCAACAGGGTTGCCATAGAACACGCAATCGTGCCAAAAACCAGCGCAGAACACATATCGCCACATTTGGTGAAATTAAGGCGTATATTAGAGTTGTACCAATTATCACTGTCGTTGTTTGCATTTGCAGATTTATATTCTTCTCTTATTTATTATATTTTTTTGAATTTATTAACACGAATAGAAATATTTTCGTAGATATAGCGGTTCTCATTCACGATGAAAGAGAAATTGGCGGGAGGGGTGAATCTAATTTTACACGCAGTTCACGTTGTGTTCTTAATTATTAACAGCTCTAAGAATCATGAAGTTTCCAACCGCTAAAATTTGTTTTCGTAGGCTGCAAAAATGTGCATGTGCATTTTAAATAATTAAGAATGCTTTTATTTTTATTATGGTTATTGTCATCTAAAATTATGTGAATAAATCCATTTTTATGGCGTAAAATTTTAACAAGATAATATATTGTTAATGCTTTTCTAACAATAACCTTTCAAAGGATGGCAGGTGTGACATAATAGATGATAAATTGAATAAAAATATTGATTATCTAAGATGACAGAATAGTTCGATGCATCACCATGGTCATCAAAATTAGCAAACCACTGCTGGTATAAGGAATATATTGTTTTCTGTGTTAACTGGAATTTAAGACAAATTTTTTTCGTATATCACGCTTAACTGCTTAATTTCAGTATATTAATACTAATTTATATTTTTAAATGAATTTTTATTTCCGTTATAAATCCTTATATATTGTCTTATGCTTAATATATTCTTTTCTGTGCTAACTTGAATTTAATACAAATTAATTTTCGTACATCACGTTTAACCGGTTAGTTTTACATCTACATGCTTATTGGTACTTACGTACTAATGCAACCAGGCCGTAAATCGGCAAATTTGGCGACCCTACGTGTTATACGTAGTTTTTCGTAAAGAAATTATTATAAATAGCACTGGGCATGTACTACCACAGCAATGGGTTTTCGGCGGAATTTTTCGAGAAAAGAAAGAGACTTTTTTGGTTACTGTACCTAACAGAAGTGCCGTTACCCTCATGTAAAAAATTTGCAAAAATATGAAGGATGCATCATTTATTCGGATTGCTGCAAAGGATACAATACAAGTGAGTTCGAAAATGCTGGATTTCTGCATAGGACTGTTAATCACAAATATAACTTTGTGGATCCCAACACGGGCGTTCACACACAACATGTAGAGCGCATGTGGGGCTCAGCCAAATGGTGCAACAAAAAACAGAGAGGAACAGCCCGTCATTATCTTAACTCATACCTTATCGAATTTATATGGCGCCAAGCTCAAGCTGTTAATGCCAAGACGGTTTTCAATCAGTGCTAAAAGCATAGCCAAAGATTTCCGCCGAAAAATAATTCTGCACTTATTCGAAACCGGTAGGGTTTAATTGCTATTTCATATTTTAAAACAAAATAATATAAAAAACTGTATTAAAAATTATCTATAATTAATAAATGTACATTTTCTTTCTATTCATACTTTTTTACTCAAACTTACAAATCGCGCCAACCTGGTTGCGATAATACATAAGTACCTGCTTATTATCTGTGAATTTTTACTACCATATGCTTAATATATTGTTTTGTCTGCTAATTTGAATTTACATGCACTAAAAATCACGGCTCATCGTTGATGAACGGCGAGCTTGGCGAGTAAAAATGCAATGGCTCTAGCAGGTTCTTTCCCGAAGCACCAACGGGTTCTCTGCGGATGAAAACCCCCAAACAAAATTTTACAAAGAAATCAATCAACACAAAGAACGTCTTTTCTGCATCATGAACTTTTTTTTATGAAAAACCACTTGCAAATGTAAATTACGCAAAACAAACCAGAATAACTATTATTTTTATGAATAATAATTATTTTCCATTAATTTACCATATAATAGATACATTCAGATGAAAAATATAATTATTGTACGGAACATAAAAAAATGACAGTACCTTAACTATCAGTAATATCATTGTGTTCTTGATCAATATCAATTTACTGAGCATATTCTTATGCACATTCGTGACATAATTTTTGTGTACATACCAAACAAACTAGTGTTTTACAACTTATGCATAAATACAAAGGTTTCAGTTCATTCTTTTTCTCTAATATTTTGTTTGTGAAAAGGAGTTACCAGACCAGGGGCATAGCTAGAAGGGGGCAAGGGGGGCATCTGTCCCCGGGTGCAGAATCCAAGGGGCGCCAAACTGATGTTACGACATTTTAGAGAATTAAATGTTTTCCATCCTTGGCAAGCAGTAGGGGGCGCAAAATCTTCGGTTGTCCCTGGGCGCTGAAAACCCTAGCTACAACTCTGTACCAGACACTTTTGGGATCCATATTTTCAACCAATTTTTCCATATGATCTTAATCCTGGAAGATGAACTATATTATGCGCGGGTGTTCTCACATTTCGTTGTGGTTGAAGACATGTTTCTTTTCTTTTTATTTACTGAACACTTTTTCCAACAATCTGCTATCCGAATTACACTTATGCTAGAATTTTTATGGAACAAAACTGCTTAATCATGACAAATATTAACTGCAAAATTCGCAAAAAATGCAGAATCGCAAACTCCTTGCCGCGTTTTTCAGAATCGCACATACACATTACCCATTTACACGTTGACTTATTTTTACTTAAAAAAACATCCCAGAATTGCACAAAAATGGCATTGCGCACACTCTTCACTATATCCATGTACACTGCTTTTTTGTCATAAATTAGAAAAATTTCATGAAAAGGCATGAAAATTTTGTGAATTTTTAAATCCGGTTAAAAGAACATATATGAAATTACCTGATCGCGAAAAAGTATATACCCGTTCCAAGGATGAACATTTCCACGTATAAAATAAATAAAATATCCAAAAACTTTTACCTCTAAATTATCTATTATATTATAAACGTCACCAATGAATTTCTACCGCAAACATTAAAAATGGTTGCAAATACTTAAATTATTGCCATGCACGTTTACTTCCACTGAAACGTATACCAAATTCCTACAAACATATAATTCACAAATAACTATAATTTAATTAAGATATAATAAAATTAAATTAAAACACTACTTAATATAAATAAGCTCATACATTAAATTAATAAAAATTAGCTTACAATCCTAATTACTTTAAACTAAATCATTGCTAATAAAATTTTCCAACAATACCATATTACTTATTTACTCCTTACATTTAGAAAATGCATAAAATAATATCCTCAAATAAAAAAAAAAAATACAAATACTAACTAACCTAACTTCAGAATCTGATTATGTGGTGGATAAACTTTTCTAATCGATTTAATAAAATTCTTGAATGATTTTTTCTGTGAATTTTTCCTCCATACTTCCTCCGCTAAATAAAAAGCAAAATTCTCTTTATCATAATGCTTCAGAATGGCGCTTTTTATAGCACTCCACGTGCCCTCTATTGTATTCGTATGTGCGCCTGTTTCAGGATCTTTAAAATGATACTTATGGTTCACAGCAAGATGTTGAAAACCTTCATCCTCCAAACATGCATATGATTTCCAGCAATCAGATATGATTATTGTACCAGGTAGAATATACTGTTTAATAAAACTTAATAAGCAATCTTTACTTCTATCTCGCACAACATTAAAAAAACACTTATTACTATCCCTTTCAATCCCACTAAATACCCATTTCGAATTCACTTTAGATAGGGCCATGGGATCCAAAAATTAACCAACAGTGTTTGACACAACACAGAATGAAGCTAAATACAAAATACTATACTGCAGATATTTTTCCAGATTCCTCCCCTTTTCCAATTAAAGAACTATAATTCGTCCATTAATGTCACATGACATATCTCATGATCTCTCATTTCCTTCACACAAAATAATGTGCAATCGGAACTGAGTACTTCTCACATTATTCCCAAAGTCCTAGGTAGTAACCTTTATCGCCTCCAAAATGTTGCCAAACTACCTGTTACCATATTCCAAAGATTAGACAAATATGGCTTCAGTCTTTGGTTCAGTGATTCATTGTTAGATTCTGAAAGTTCTGATATCGTGGAATTGCAACTTTCATTTGCAAAATCTTCTTGGCATTCATCTTCGTTGCTAAATTCACTTCCTACTTCATCAAGAATTCTTTGCAGCTCTTCTGCATAACACATATCAGAAGGATATATGTTATTTCTTGGACCGAGTCTCAGAGCTATGTTTCTGTCTGGGACAGAAATCGTAACACTAAGAAAGTGGTGCGGTCTGACATACCGTGCTCAGACAAAGAACTGGAATTTCACAATGAAGCAGGTGCAAAAATGTTAGCTAATGGGTGAGAATTATCAAGGCCACAAAAGGAGAAGCTAGCAGGAGAATCCACTCAATCGGACTAAATCTAGAATATTGGTGATAGGAACAACACCTGTAGCGGTATCTGAGATTGCACCACCCCAGTTACGGGTTAATAGATTTAATATTAAGAGGGCATTTTGCTTTTTTATGATCTTAAAGCAAGTTTTTGGAGGTTGAACTTTGTTATGCGGTTCCGCATGGTTTCTGTCTGAAAAAATCGCCAAGTGGTATTGATTGTTCATGAAATCTTGAAGCCTACTTCGTGAAGTAGGTTTTTTGGTAACCCTGATGTTGATAATGTTGGTGAAACTACTCTTGGGGGAAAATTGCGAATAATGTCAAATGTGTTGTGATAAGTTGAGATTTTGGCTATTTTTTGTAATAGTAACCCTTTCGTATAGACTGGAGATTTTAACTTGCTGTGTCTGGTTGCACATGCGTAATGTTTTATGAAAATGGTGCCCGAAAGTTTGTTTAGTGTTATAAATGAGTATATTATTCCGGATATGACTATAATTTCTGAAGGTGTACATAAAATAGAAGGAACAGATTTATGGCTTTCTTAGGTGCTGTTATACATATTTATCCACTATTAACAGCGGATTAGCTGAAACGACTAGATATTTAATTGAATTGCCTATGTGGACGAAATGATGTTGGTAGGCATTAAGGTATGCATGTGAAAAAAAGATATGTTAAAGAATTAACGTTTGATTTATTTATTGGTGTCTATGTGTTAATTTTTATTGTTTAATGTTTTGTGTTAGGAAATATATATTTTTTGTTGTTTATTACTCTGTGTTTGGATATTTTTAGTTATTTGTTTGTGTCTGTGTATTAAGACAACGGTGAATTTTTTCTGGTTAATATGATAGTTTTAACTTTGTTTTAGCTTTCTGATTTTGTTTAAGTGAAAATAGATCAATGTGTACATGTAGATAGTGAAATTAGTGCGCAATGCTAGTTTGTGCAATTCTCTAATTTTTTTTTTTTAAAGTTAAAATAGGCCGATATGTACATGGACACCAAGTTTGTGCAAATGTTCGATTTCTTGTTTTGATTGGCACCATCTTGAAATTGGTGCGGAAACCTTCATGGTACTGATCTTGGGGTAAAAAAAATCAATGATTCGGCAAGCGGAACCATAAAGATTAACCATTTTTGGATATTGTATTGTTATATGATCCTAAAACATGGCAAGATAAAATACAGTAACACCACTTCATTTCGTGCCTAACAGGAAAAAACAAATTCTGCAAACAAAAAATAAGACATATCACTTCATATTTTGACATATTTATGCAGTCAAAAGTCTTTAATCCAAACGTCCATAATCCGGAATGATCTATAATCTGGACCTCAAAGCTACAAACTTTCTGCGCATGCGTAAATGCATAATACATTTACGCACGTGCGTTTAATGTATAACGCGCGGTATAAGCTAAGCTAAAATTATCTAATTATCTATTTCAGTTAATGTTGCAGATTGCGTTGTTCCTTAATCTTCTAATTGGATCCGGCTTATTATTTTTTGTAGACTGTCAGAGCAATTTTATAAAAGTAAGCTTGAACTTTTGATTATGTCAAAAAGAATTTCCGATTCTTTAGCTGCCAAAGGATCTACAAAGCGAAGCATGTTTCGATGTCCATCAAACAAAAAGCGGAATTGCTGCAAAAAATTGATAAAGGCATATCCTTTGTTTCTCTAACCATTCCAAAATCTGTTTATCAATTTCACCCTGCTCTGGGGGGAGGGGCGTCACGGCGTGCAATGAACTGGAAGTTGATCAGTCAGCACTATCCTTATCTTCATGGCAGATGTTTTTATTTTATTCGGTTTATAATTCCTTACTAAATGTAGTATTTCATCTTGATGTACTTGGTCTTTGATATGATTTAAATCAAATTCCTCGTCATTATAAATATCACGAATACACATCAAATGGTTGCAATTTTCTAAAATTGATTATGCGTAATGTATGCTTTATGCATGCACGCGGTGAAAGAAATGTTTAATAAAGTAAACAAATAAATATTAAGCTTTTTTTTTGTAAATTTTGATACCCTTTAGATCATAATTGTTCTTTATTTCATAAATTACGGTTTCATATTTTTAATTTTATAATTTCTGCATGCCATCTTACCAGATTTAAACTGATGATCTATAATCCGGAAAAAAACCGATAATCCGAAATCGCCGAAGTCCCGACGGTTCGGATTAAAGATTTTTGACTGTAAATGACATTTATATGGTTTAATTCTAGTGTACAGTACACAGGGGATTTGGTGACATGATGATAAGCAATAAACGGTGTGTTTATGATGAGTAGTAAACGAATCATTTTTGTGTTGGTGACAGTTTTCAAAATCGCGCCACGACCGTACCGCATACCAGGGCTCCGACTCCTTGGAATTTTTAAGACTCCAATTCGACTTCTTCATATATAAATATGTAAACATATACTCATGGGTTACAGCTTATTTTTTTAATATAAAAGAAGTAATAGATGCTACAGGAAAAATATTGATGGCATAGCAAATTATTCATATTAATTAGCATTTATTATGAAATGAAAAACTGGCATCAGTTATTTCTAAGAAACAGTATAGCTTTGCCAAGATCTTCTCTGTTGGAGGGCCATAGATCCGATTTGATAAACTTCAGATCTGAGAAGAGTCTTTCCACTCTAACTTGAGTAGGAGAAAGAGCTGTTACTGTAAGGGCTACTTCTTTTAACTTTTCAGGATAGATTTTTATAAGTTCTAAATGAGGTGTCTTGCAAGCGCAATAATATTTCTCTATTTCTTCAGAGGCTGTGTACAAATCTTGTTCATATTTTTTCATTTTTATACCAAAAGGCTCTTGGTTCTTTATTTTCATCCACTTTGTCTTAGCCTTTTCAATATTATCCAAAAATGTTTCTTGAAAATCTAATTCATCATTAGAAGAGGATGATAGAGACTCATTGCAATGTCTGCATATTTGACCGTCCTGATTTGAATACTCTCATTTGTTCTGAGAATAATTTCATTCTTGATTAAAGTTCCCATAGATGACTTTCTTTGCCTTTTTAATTTGTTCGTCCATCCAACAAAATTTGGCGTTTTTCGGATCTACATATATTGAATCCAGCAAGATCTCATTGTCTAGCAAACTAGTTTCTCTTTTCTTCATAGAAGAAATGATTCCTTCTGCAATAAACCCTCTTAGAACACACCTCATCTAGAACAAGCTAGAAACCTATAACAAACTTCACATTCTTCCATTCTCGCCTCCTATCAATTCTTCAGATTGCAGCCTTTTTGTGGCTATATATGGTGTAGAAAGAAGTTTCCAATTCTGCAAGATCATTCCACAGTCTTTCTGTTAGTGAAACATTTGGGTTATCTACATGGTCTAAAAAAGTTCTTAATTCTAACAACCTCTTTATCATCAAGTATGTCAAATATGTACTTGCTTATTGCACTGGTGCGCAAACTTTTTTCGACTGCGACCCCTTTTGTAGAGAGAAAATTTTTGGCGACCCCTAGAGATAAATGTTCACAAATACGATGTATATTTCGCGCATTTCTTTCGTTTCATCGAATAAAAACATCATCATATCTGACTCATATTAATTTTATTTATAATTTTTGTATAACACAAAAATCAGTAAATTGCCCTTTAATGAGATGTATGTGGCTGCAAGTTTCTAATTATCTCATCGATGTTTGGATGTATATTGCTAATTGGAATTCGCATATCATCTTCAGGGTTTAAACGCGAGCGGTATTTAGTTTTTATCGAAACTAGTTTGCTAAATCCAGTTTCACATAAATACGTTGATGCAAATTGTATTAACACTCTGGATGGCATTCTTGCATAAAACGGGATATTGTTTTTCCACGGATAGGCCAAAATTTTTTGGCAAGGCTGAGTCTGAAATTGATTTCGAAGGGTGTAATCACTAATTAGATCTATCAATTGCTCTTTCTCACTAATTTGAAGAGTTGAACTGCATATGTCAAAGGAAAATGGATCACGAATCCAACCAAGATCGTTTTCAGGAAAATCCTCGAATCTTCTCGAAAAATTTTCCTTTAACTTTTCAATGTGATTGGAAATGATGTTTTTAAATGTAAATATATCTGTATTATTTTCCTTGATAAAATCGTTAAAGGAAGGGAACATGTCGGTGTTGTTTTTATTCAGTTCAGTTTGCCAGATACTAAGCTTATTCTTAAAAGCTTGAATTTTACTGGCTGGAGTTATGATAATTGAATTCTCACCCTGCAAGCTCAAATTTAATAGTTAAGTTTTTCGAAAATATCAACTAAATAGCTCAGCTTCCCTAGCCAAACTTCATTGATATAATAACTTGCCAATCTATTTTTCCAGAGTCGTAGCTAGGGTTTTCAACGCCCAGGGACAACTGAAGATTTCGCGCTCCCTACTGCTTGCCAAGGATGGAAAACATTTAATTCTAAAATGTCGTAACATCAGTTTGGCGCCCCTTGGATTCTGCGCTCGGGGACAGATGCCCCCCTCTAGCTACGCCCCTGTATTTTTCTTTTCGATTAAAAACATGTACACTTGATTTTTCAAATCAAATATCCGTCGTAGTATTTTCCCACGTGAAAGCCATCTGACTGCGGTGTGTAACAGTAATCTCTCATACGTTGAGCCCATCTCATTTCAAAGTATTGAAAAGAGATGGCTGTTGTGGCTGTTGCATTTAACATAGTTAATTGATCTAACAGCGTCTTGTAATATGTTGTGCAACTCTTCATCCATATATCTTTTGCAACAAGAGCTTGTCGATGAATCATACAGTGATTAAATACCATATGAGGCGCCACCTTCTGAATTAAGCCTCTGAGCCCTTTATTCGAACCTGTTAATGCTGCAGCACCATCAGTACAAACCGCAACACAGTTTGCCCAGGTAAGGGACTTTTGTTTCAAAATATTCATTTATTACTTCGAATATTTTTTATCTCCAGTTGTTTTTTCCTTCCAAACTTTTGCAACATAAAAACGTTTCTGTTATATCTTCATTATTAAAAATAAACCTAACGTAAATAATTAGCTTGTGTGACATTTTAGTAATATCGGTAGTCTCGTCCAGTTGTAAAGCAAATACAGATGAATTTTGTATGCGTTTTATGACTTCTGACTCGATATTTCGTGACATTTCGGAAATCCGCCGAGACACGTTATCTCTTGATAATGGTATTGTTTTTAGTTCATTTCCATATTTATCGCCATGGATAATTGATGTCATCTTAGTTGCTGCAGGAAGGATAAGGGATTCTCCAATTGTATGGGGTTTCGTTGTTTTTCCTATTAGATAAGAAACTTCTAAAGAAGCTCGTAATGCTTTCTGAAGTATTGTTGTAAATTTCTTTAAATGTGCACTTCAGGTTTTCAGCTCGTCTTTGAAAAAAATCGGCATGTTTATTTTGAAGTTCTTTATTTTGAAGTAACATTTAGAATTAAATGTTAGTTTCCAGGAGCCTTTTTAATTTAGCTGGTTTCATGCTCTCATTTGCTAATTTTTCGTTGCAAATGACACATATCGGGCGTTCTTCATCATCAACAACACAAAATGTAAAACCATACTTAATAAATTCCTCATTGTATTTTCTTATTTTTTTAGATCGGGCATTTAGTTCAGTATTTTGCGACTCCTTATCAGTATTTCTTCGTTTGTTAGCTGAAGATGTACCTGATGTACGTATTACCCATTTATCCATTATGAAGATAAGGGTTAAATTATTTAAACTAAAACAAATAATACATAAAATTTTATAATTTTTTTTCGAGAAATTCAGTAAAATTAACAGAGATCTTTCTCTAATGACAGTACATACCTGATAACAAGAGTAGCAAAGCCCGATAAAAATAAAAAAAAATCATAATTACACAACGTCACATGATAAAACTCGAAGGATCAAACTAAAACAATTGCAGGCCAACTGCTACATGCTGCTACAACTTCATGCGAACACTTCACGTCTTTACTCTGACTATCATATACATCGCGTACCTCTCGCCATCTGATTGGCTGAATCACGGAAGCGAATTTTTTCCCTCTTCCCTGCGGTTAACGTCTAGTCAAATAGGCGCTTTTCAGTAAAACTGGGGAATCACCGCGAAGAGGGCGCTATCTACCGGAGTGAAAAAATTGCGTCTTTACACTTTACGTACATTACGCATTACGGTCAAAAAAAGAGCGTACAGCATGAAATTGCAATTAAACAGTGAGTGACGGCGCTTCACTCTTTATATGTACACTGTATGGTATGCAGCATGCAGGCATAATGCATTTCATAAAAATTTGGCGACCCCCAAAAAACTTCTGGTGACCCCCACAGGGGTTGCGACCCCTAGTTTGAGCACCACTGGCTTATTGCATTGCTTGATCAATAATTGCTCTTTTTCCTGCTCACTTCCTAAGAATGGCATAAATTTTGGAAGTTCTTGCTGCTATTGCTGCTTACCTAAATTTACCAGTGAGATTTGTAACTAAATGAATCAGTTTAATCACTAATGGCAAATATCTCATCCATCCTCCTCCTTAATATTTATTTATTAATATATCAGTAAAATAGAAAATAACTATTTATTTATAGTCCATAAATAAAAATAATATTTCAGGTTGTCATTAATTTTTTCCAATGCATTTTAATTTCATTTCAAATTCAAATTGTCCAACAAAAACGGGTGTGGGAGTCGACCTGTTTTTTAGCGACTCCAGCTCTGACTCATTTTACCCCCAAATCTGCCTGACTTCGATTCTGACTCCACAGCTTTATATTAGGTTTAAAGAGAAAAGAAATAGTCAACGGTTTGAGAAGAAAGTACCATATAATTAACACTTTCAAGCTGTTATTTTTATAAGAAGCAGTACCGCAGAAAACTCGTAAATGTAAACACTGCCAAAAATGATGATAACAGTTCAAAGCCTATTCTAGATGTTCGCTGATCAGAGGTAACAACCATTCCTGTTGTATTCTCTTTCTGATCTTTCATTGCTATTCCCCATTTGCATTTTGTAGCAACTATTCCAAACTTCCACATTTTTGTTGGAATTGCAAAGCTTATTTTTATCTTTGAACTATTTGCATGTGCATTTCATTCTCCACGTATTTATTATTAGTCCAAAGGGGCAATTTTCCCAGAAAGACCTATTACTGGTAATTTCATTTTGGCATTTTACGCTGGTTCACTATAAATGGTGGCTCACTTTTCAAATTGTTGCCACCAAATATTATCGCCCTGAATTATATTTTAAGAAATTAAATAATGAATAATCTGCATAAATGTATGTATGTTTCTTGCATAGTGATAAAACCTAAAGCCATTGAATTTTGAATAACTTAATCTTCCACCGAATATGGGCATGTGGAAGCCGTAATTTGGAATTTGTTTTATTATGGATTTCATATTTTGTAACACTTTAATGAATTTCTGATTAAGAAACTCGACGATTTCAAAGCGAGCAATGGCAGCACTGTATGGAAAAAGAACATTTTTATCTCCAGCGTGCGAGACTGTGTACTGGAAATTCTAAAGGTATGCTCATTTTAAAATTATTTTGTGACACTGCTGTTGAATTGAATTTTATAATTTAAGTGCAAAGAACAGGATATTTAATAAATAAAGATAATACACAAAACGTTAAAAAAATGCTCCTTTGGAAGTAATGTAAGGTCTGAAATCTTTCAGATTTTATTTTTTTATTATTATTTCTTTTATTCGGTCTAGTTTCTACACTTTAATTTCAAAAAGTGAAGTTACCAAAAAGTGGTTTTACGAAGAAAATCTAGCAAATGACTTGCTTGAATACCTGTTTCGGTAGGAAATTTAATTAGTCAAGATCCATTAATGGAAATTTCAAATTTGATTGAAGACTTGTTTTCTGTGGACTGTCTCCGGCATAGTTTCATTCAGGATGGGGGCTCATTACAGTTCTAATGAAAAAGAATTGCAGTAATTCTGTATATAACTATACAAACATTTTTAAATCCATTTGTAATTAGTTAGGAATTGATTTCAATAATTAACATTTACTCTGATTTTATGTTAACTTAGATGTACACTGCGAAAAAAAAAAAAAAAAAAAAAAAAAAAAAATGGGGCAGCTTTATATCTTTCTTTCTGCTAGGCTGATTGACGAAATTCAAATTGTGTTTTTTGTGTCTTGAAAGTGCGACTTAAAATATGTAATAGATTTATATATAGCATTGCTCTAATATAGGTATTTTGACACAAAATCTTACTTTTTCTGAAATGACATGCCAGTTTTTTTTCCATATTTTGATTGTACGACTCATTATGCCACACTGCCAAGTTTCTAAAAATCGCACGAGCAGTTTTTAAAAAATTAGCTCTCAAAAGTTTAGCTCCTTGATGTTAATTCAATTTGGTATGTATTAATAGCTTTTTTAATTACATTTACTTGATTCCTTCTTTCACAGTTCGAAATTTAGGTTCATTTCAAATAAAATTCACCCATTTTTTATGATTTATTTTAAAATAATTTTTATAAAGTTTTGGGAAAAAGTTTTGAATTATAACCTCTAAAACTTTTATCCTCAACTTAAAGTAGTTTGATTTCTAAGCATACCTGCAAAAAAGTAGAGTTTTTTTTATTCGAATTTTTCTAGGATATACGTCAATTTACATATTGGCACCTTTTGAAATTTGGCATATTTTTTATAAGCGATAATAGAGCCAAATGTGGTTTACGCACTTTGTTAAAATGATTTTGAAGCAATGAAGGATGATTTTTTTTACCGCTCATTTACTATGAAAAAAAAGGAAAGAAAAATAGGTTGCTATAAATTAAGAAGTTCGTGAATTATTCTTGGCGCTGACTGAAAAAGATATGCCAAGATAAATTTTTGAATTTCTCTGTAAATTTCGCACCAAATCTTACAGAAATTAATGTTTACACATAATTTGAGTTAAAATATGAAAAAAAATTGACATGTCATTTCAGAAAAAGTCTAATTTTGTGTCAAAATACCTGTATTAGAACAATGCTGTATATAAATCTAATATATATCCTATGTGAAAGGAAGAATCAAATAAGTTTAATAAAAAAGAGAGAGATTAAGAAATATACACTAAATTCACTTAATATTGAGGAGCTAAAATTTTGAGAGAAAATTTTTTAAAAATTACTTGTTCAATTTTTTACAAAGCTTGGCATTTTGGCATAATTTCAGTCGTACAATTGAAATATGGAATAAAATTAACATTATTTCAGAAAAAGTTCGATTTTGTGTCAAAATACCTATATTAGAACAAAGCTATATATAAATCTAATATATATCCTAAGTTGCGCTTTCGAGATCTGAAAAACGCAGTTTAAATTTCGTCAATCGGCGCAGTAGAAAGAGAGATATAGACCCCCCTTGCTTTATTTTTAGTGTACAAAATATCTTTTCTTCCCCTGTTAATTTTAATTTGTATGTTCTAATTATCAACTTTAACAAGTTGATTTTCATTTATGTATGCTTAATACCATGCTTTTCCCCTGAGTTTTAATTCATGTGTAATAAATATTATGTTTAAAAAGCTAAATTTGACTTGCATGTGGTACTAATGTGTGGCACATCTTTTCCATAAATTAGCATAAAGTCGTTTTCATATTGCTGCACCCTTTGGTATAAATACGGTTGTGGCTACCTGTTTTCCCACAAAATTGTTTCAGTTAGATCTTTGGTGAATGCATGATTATACTATAGCCTAAATGTATGGTATACCAACTAAGTACTACAGGTTTCTTATTTTCTAAATTCTGCATATTTTACCTTTAAAATTTCTTTTCCCTGTTATCCTATAATCATCATATTAATTTTCCAGTAATTTCCTGTCCGATACAAAATATTTGCCCTATTCTGTATTAAAAATCTAATGTGAGTACTGCATGACTTCCATTGTTTGCCTATTAAATTATACAAATTTTTTGCTTTGCTTCATATAAACTGATTTTCTCAAATTATTCACAGTTAATTAACCGCAAGGCAAGTTGAAAATGACATCAAAAATTGCAAATTTGAAATTAAGCATCCCGTTAAATTTTTTCGTACAGAAGTCAAACTTCTTGTATTTTTATTTTTTTATGAGTATAAAACTTTTCCAAATATACCGATAGAAACCAGAGATTGCATTTAAGATTTATATTGTATTATTTGTTCAAAATGACTTTTTTTTTTTTTTTAATTTGAAATTGCCAAAACATTATTTAAACACTTCTGTAATTGGAAGTACATGTCTGTGAAGCTGTGAAAAGCTGGATAAGGGGGTGAATATATATATACACTTTTTTTACAAAAAAAAAAAAATCGAAGCACCAAGAAGGACTTTTGCGATCCTGATGAAATTTGGTTTGTAAAAACATCTTGATCAAACATACAAATGATCAAGGCAAAGTTTCAAGGCAAATGAACAGGAATTGCGATCATAGTGCACATTTCCAGTATGCAATTCGTAAAGAGTATAAAACCAGTAACACAAGTGGAAAATTTTATTTTTTTTTGTTGCTGCCATTGTAATTCCATAAAAGAGCAACTAAAGATGCCATTATGATGATATAGAAGACCTTACAGACAACTAAACGACTTCGAACGTGGTCGCATTCTAGGGTTGCATGAAGCTGGGTGGTTATACTGAGCAGTAGGCCACCACCTGCAGCGTACAGACACTGCTGTGCAAAGATGTTGGCAGCAAGAGTTTCTACAAGGAAATTGCCAATGAAAATGAAGGCCCTGGAAGGCCAAGGAGCACAAATGCAAGTCAAGATAGGATGATTCTTCACCAGCAGTGTTGGTGCGCTATTTCTTATGACAGCAAGTCATCTTTAGTCATCCTCTGTACATCTTTAACAGCTCAACGGTATGTTGATACCATCCTGTTGCCAGTTGCATTACCTTTCGTGGCATGTCATCCTGTTGCCATTTTCCAACAAGATAATGCCAAGCCACATACCGCTCACATATCTCTGGACTGTTTCCATGCGATTCATACTTTTTGGCCAGCAAGGTCACCAGACCTTTCACAAATCGAGCATATCTGGGATATGGTGGGCCACCAGATTCGGGCACCACAAAATATCGCAGATCTGGAGTGACAATTGATGAATGCCTGGCAGAATGTGTCACAGAATGACATTAGGATCCTCTACTACTCCTTGCCTCAACAAATTCAAGCATGCATTGCTGCCAGGGGCAGTTTGACCAACAATTAATTTGAACACTCAATGTGTGATTGTGAGCCGTGAACAGGTACTATGAATTTTAGTCATTTTATTATCTGTGTATGAGCTATACATATATTCAGTTTCATCAGAATTTAGGTAAAGCATCAATCAACAAAATTAAAGGATGGCAAAAGTTTTATAATTTAGGGAGGTGCTTGGCAGCAGAATTTTAGACATGCAGACACAAATCTCCTAGCATCGACCATGGATAAGACTTAAGTACGTAGCGTATTCGGAAACTAAGTACCGTTTCATTCTAGCGCTGTCGCAGCGCTGTGGTAGGCGTCCAGCGCATGCACACTAGTCTTTCTTGATCACTGACTTTCAATTGTCGCCATTTTGGTTGCTCTATGTTGTGTTTTCAGTTTGCTGTGCACATTAAAAATGTTTAAGACAATTAGTTCTCACGCTGACTGTGATATTCGTGCCGTGATTAAATTTTTGAATGTGAGGAATGTTAAACCGGTCGAAATTTATCGTCAAGTGACAGAAATTTACGGTGAATATGCGATAAGTGATGAAATGGTGAGAAAGTGGGTAAGAATGTTTAATACACGTCGAACAAATGTCCACGTCGAGGCTCGGAGTGGTCGGCTTTCTGTTGTCACCGATGATTTGGTAAGGAAAGTTGATGAAGCAATTCATGAGAACAGACGCTTCACAATGACAACTCTTTCAGAGGCATTTCCACAAATTTCACGTACTGTTTTGTTCGAAATTGTGTCTGACCACTTGAATTATCGCAAACTGTGTTACCAATGGGTTTCAAAAAATGCTCACTGATGTTCACAAAACAAAGCGACTTGGTAGTGCCCTGACATTTCTCACGCAGTACAGTGATGAGGGAGAAAACTTTTTAAACCAAATTGTGACAGGTGATGAAACTTAGGTGTGTCATTTCACACCAGAATCGAAACAACAATCGATGGAGTGGAGACACACTCATTCTCCGAAAAAACAAAAGTTCAAAGTGACAATGTCATCACAAAAAATCATGTGCACTGTCTTCTGGGATAGGAAAGGCGTTTTGCTTACTGAATTTCTTCCCAGAGGTGAAACCATTAATGCAGCACGATATTGTGAGACTTTAACAAAACTAAGGCGTGCCATTCAAAACAAACGAAGAGGAATGCTCAGTAAAGGAATTGTGTTGCTCCATGACAATGCTTGGCCCCATAGTGCTGGTGTCACTCAATCGTTAATTTGACAGTTTCATTGGGAGCAGTTCGATCAACCGCCGTACAGCCCGGACTTGGCGCCATCTGACTATGACTTGTTCCTGCACATGAAGCGCGAGCTTGGTGGG